AGTCTCGTTGGTGCTGGTGCACTTTCCCAGGGCACCACTGTTGACTACAACGACTGGCTTCCTCTCAACAACAACGACAAAACCTTATTAGAATGGCTTGCTGGCCGTGAAGACTTGAGCATAGTGAAGAAAGAGGATGACGATGGAGAGGGCGAGATGGATCCGGACTTTGTGGTTTCCCCCTCTAAGCGGCGCGGTACAGGGAATACGTACAAGGACCCCATGTACGTGGACTACGATTCTGGGGTCGACAGCAACGACGCCACGACCATAGTCAAAAGGGAAGATTTAGGCGAGTCTGAGCTGTGGGTTCCATCATCTCCAACACCCCAATATAGTGGGATGGGCTCAATTGAAGCACCAATCATGCTCTGTGATTAGATTGGTCGGTATATTCTGTACTATGTAGTATGTAGTTATAATCCATGACTGTATTTTCCTGCAAGTAATCTGGGACCTGTGTGCTTGTCGTACGAATTGTAACAAAGGTATTCTAGGGTCCTTTGAGGAGCACCAGTCCCTTGTTATGAGTAACAAGCTTTCCCAACTCAGTTTCTGAGCGCGATATGAACAAACAACCCGGTATATGCATGATTGTATCCTGTAATTACTTTAGATCTTCATGCCTCGTATGTTTTTAGTGTCTCGAGTTTGCCCCCGAAAATCTATAGTTCAAATCCCCGGGTGGCCAACAAGTATACATCAAAACTCAGTGTTCCCTTTGGCAGGTTTACCGTTTCTGCAGACAAATCAACGCAGTTTTACAAAGTTTTAGAGCTGAGCTAAGATTAGGTTCGTAAAGCCTGCAATCTATCGTCAATTTGTTTCTAGTAGTACATGCCTCAGAATACTATATGGTGCCTTTCCGTTCACTTTCAACTCTTCGATCATCATACGGTTTCTCCACTTAATCATCTCGTCCAAAAAAAAATTGTAACGTACAGAGCTCATCTCGCGAACAATAGACTGATACCCTCCCATCCAGACGTTTGTCTGTTCTGCAGCAGAAGAGTTGAACCTCCAAACACCCGGCGCCGACTCCAACTCAGGCCAATTCGCTGCATTGCAATCCATATTGCACCGGTCGCCTTTGTGCTTCGACTTGAAGTGAAAAATGTCGACGGGCATAGCACAATTGCTAAAGTAGTGGCGCAAATCAGGCTCCGGATCATTCCCCAACATCGCCATTACCCGACAATTATTATCGTACCACATCACATGTGGTAGTGACTTCCGGGTAGGGAATAGCTTCATCCAAAACGACTAGCGAACACGACATGAATAAGAAGATGACCACAAAAACACAGGAGAAGGACATACCCGGACACCATTTGGCGCTTCCGACCCAAAGAAAGTTGCCCGCCCGAGTATGACTCCACATGAAGCGACACAGAGTTGTTCATTATGGGTCCATTTTCGCCCAAACCTTGCCTTTACCTGAGTATTTCCTTTTGCAGACTTCTCATCGCAGATGCCGTCTTCATCGAGTTCAACATCCTCATCCTCGTCGGCACCAGTCCCCTCGATTCCCTCACTATCATTGCGTAGAGAATCTTCGGTGAAGGAGCTGTGTGTCTGGGTAGTATGAAGGCGTTCAAGTCGGTGCTTTAGTTGAAACATGGCTTTCCCCCGCAATTTCAGATAATCTTCAACTTTCTTGTGATCTGGAATGCTGCAAGTACGAAAACCAGTCCGAACCTTTTCATTACACGTCGTAACGGCACACTTCTGGGCATAGTCAGCGTGCTCATGACAGAATCGATGTTTCGTGGTGGGAAGGGGGTTCTTGCAGTCTAATGCAGCAGCACAGCAGGGATGACCAATAGTTATACCATCAGTGACCGTCGATCTAAGAGCATCTGTCGTAACTTTAGTCAGGTGTCTGTAGAAAGGGGCTGATACACATACAGTAGGTCTCATTTCGGTTCTCGACCCAACAGCATCCGTCGCATGCATGATTCCAAGCCTCCTGACCTGTCCCGGCGGTTCGAAGATTTCGTTCTTGGAGAGCTTTATTCAATCGGAGTTTATGCTGGTCACCATGGTCAAGAAGAAGTGTCTCGCCGCGCTCGTGCTGATCAAGGATGAGTGCATAGATATAGAACCCATCGGAAACAATCTCGAGGGTGATCTTCAGGGCAATAGGCCAGTTGAGCGGAAGTAGGGACACAAGGTCGGGAATATTACGAGCGAGCCCTTCGTTATAGATACGTGCGCAGTTAGTGAATGAGGTCCTAAGTAATGTTGATGAGCTTCAGTATATGACAGGACAATTGGAACGTACCAGGCAGTCACCATCATTGTCCGGAATAGCTGCAACATATCTTCACTGACATAGTAGTGCTGTGAGGTTTGAATGATGGTGGGTAATGCCTTGTAATACGTTCGGAGTTGAGCATTGGAATGGACGTAGTAGTTATGATGGTAACGAGTATGACAAGCTGATGATGGGGATATCACGATCAAAAGAGGCAAGCACTGGTATCACAACTATTGGCTTACTCCGACAGTAGCGTGAGGTGGCGAATCCGGGAACCGCACCGATATCCTTTGTGAAGACCGTGATTTCATGTCTGATGGGAATATCCAAGGTGCGCTCGACGAGAATACTGGATTCTCCACGTCGGGTATGTGTACAAGCATTGTTAATGCACGTCCTGAAGGGGGGCTCCAGGTTGAACACTCCTACAACTCGTGGTCAGTGCTATTCTGTAGACGACCAGTCCATACTCCACGTACCGATTCCATTTCCAATCCCATGCTCAACAAATAGCCTCGCGTGCTTCAATCTTAATCCCCTTTCCTCTCTCTCAGAAAGCGTACCCATTGCCCATATAAAATCCCTACAGGTCTCCCATGCCACCTTGCCCGCCTCGTGCGAAATTTGAAGAGAACTGGTCAAAAGATCGTGGATATTTGCAGGTAGCAGTGGTGGGGGGCCAACAGAGCACAGGAAGGATAGCGAAGGGCGTAAGAGGCGGATTATCTCAATGTATTTGATGAGTTTGTCGAACGAAAGATCATCCTGGAGGAAAGGATTACTGTATAAGGCTTGTAGCGCAGAGAGAGGTATGGCGGGCATGTTTCACAGTGGCGGGGGAATGGGGAGGAAAGGTTGCTGGTATTGCTGGGCTACACTATTTATACACGTCGAGAACAATGGCAATACGAAAGGGACGAGAATGCATAAAGAAACAAAGCGGATGAATAGCCGCGATGGAGGTTTGAGATCGACAGGCGTGTGAAAAATTGACAAACCTGGCACGAACCTGTGTACCTCGCCCGTTATTCCCGAGCAGGTCTGAGGTTTGAGGTCCAAGGTTCGCAGACGAGGTTTGACAAACCTACTTGACAGTGGACCAGGTGTTCTCGCTAGCGCTCACCTGAACTTCATGCTTTACCACACACTCAGAGACCGATCTCTAATAATCCTCCGGCTACGACGTCAAAGGATTTGTGCCGACCCTTGCAACAGATTTGAATCGACTCTCGACACCCAATGAGTTTGGATTCGGATAAAAGGCTCCGACGACAGTCCTGGCTTTGGACTCCTGAGTGAGTTGAGTCCAAGGCACGTCCAGAATTCCCGTCGCTGAACCACAATAATATCGCCCACACACCATCGGTGAGTCATGAACCTAGTTCCTGGACTTTATCGCGAGCTCTAAGATTAGCATACCTGTTACCGGTATTCCAAATCGGACGACCGCTTTAGACTCACTACTTCAAGGGGAAAAGTACGTTATACGTTAGGGTCCAGAAAGTCCCCGGTTAAATAATAGAGATGCCTCCAACATCCGAGTTGTATATCACGCGCGAGGAGACCCATAACTTGAAGTCCAAAAAGTCAGCCACTCTATCAAGCCACAAACGAGTACAATTCTATCAGGTGAGTGCTGCACTCACCGAAACTTCGCACCTTTTTCATACCCTATCTGAGGTGAAAGCTCACGACCAAGTAACAGACTGGCGTCCTGATCCAGAAGTAGTCTAACAGCTAAAAAAAGTGTTTTGTTTAAAAATTTAAGCCCGTGATATGCATATTTCAAACGTACCTCAAGACTCTGGCTTAGGCCCCAACTCCCAAGCCTGAGCCCCGGGACCCGTAGTAACAGGTCTATCAGGAAATTCACGAAAGAGACTTTTGCATATCGTTTGCAATGCATTGAACTTGTAGGCGCCTTTTAGCCTCCCAAAGGCAGACTATAACGAACGCGACACCCGTTCAGCCGTCGCTCCGTTAGGCTAGACGCGTTGCTTTCAAATCTGTTGGGCATTCGTAAGTTGAAAATGCTAGGAATGTGGAAGGAATGTGAATAATGCCATCGAGCTATCGATCTGGCGCTGTGAGCTGACTCGGAGACATCACTTTCGAACGTGCGTGTCAGGTGCCTTGATCAATGTTGTATCCGACAGCCACCTCTTTTCTTTCCTCCAAAATGAGTAAGGGTCGAATCTCTGAAGTGGAGACATACCTTCAAGATATATCCCAAAAACGGTTACATTTTCCTTTTCTTCCCTTCCCCAACTGGCGAGTCTTGGAGCTTGTGATTCCTCTCAGCAAGCAACCAACAACGCCTTCTGGAGCTCGCAATTCATGGTAGTGTAAGAGAAAGAGAAGTTGAACTGGGGGCCAAGAATTTCAAGCTGACAAATTTGAATGAACGGGATGGTGCAGTGATTCTTGAGCGAGGAAACGAAAATGTTGGATTTCAGGACGACTTTGTACGTTATAGTGAGTTATAACACTTGAAGCAACGGGGCGATGAGAGAGCTTCAAGAATCTGTGATTTCGGATCCACTGCCAGCCAATGGCAATTACCGGTGCCGATCTTACCAACGCGGCATGGGTACCTCTCAGAGAACGGGGCTGCTACGATATCTGCAAGTGCTCTTTGCACGACAGCCCACGGCCTTCTTTACACTCTATTTGTGATGCTCAACCTGCCTGGACCGCAGGATTTGAATGATAAAAAAGACGGCAGCAAAGTCAAACCTATTAGCAGCAACTTGTTTCGATCAAGTGACCTCGGGGTGGACAATCATAAACTATAATATGGGCCCCGCGCGCTACCACTGCGCCATGCTGCTAAGTAGCAGAGATACTGGTCTGAGGCATTATATTGATCAAGGGGTCTTGAGACGCCTTTATGTCGTTAGTTTCGTAAGTAAAAGATTCCGACGGCGGATGATGAGTATGTGGGTAATGACAGCGATAGATGATAGCAATAACGATCTGATAGTCCGTTGAGTGATGAAAAGAAAAAAGAGTAATAATAAGTATAGATGATATGCGGTCCATCCAGATCCCGAAAGCCCAGAAAAATATGACAACCAACAAACGATACCTTCAAAGTCCCTCGTATAATTCGGCGGCAAAGCCTCCACATGCGTTCCCGACCCTTGCCCATACCGAACCCCGCTATCCTCGTGCCTCCGATAGGTGATATTAACAACTTGCCGCTGTTCGCCTTCCGTGGATCTGTAGTTGTCGTTACTGCTCGACCCAGCAGCGGAGTCTGCGTAGGGGTCGAAATACGAGTGATGGGATGTAGAATCGACATCGGGTGGGGAGAGTGTACCGACGGAACCTGATTGGGATTGGTTATGTCGTGAGTGTTGTGGTCTGCTCCCCGACCCCACCGAGGAAAGGAGCGGAAGAACAAGTGGACATATTCGAGTATCGTTGTTTTTCCGGTGGATACGACGTCATACTCGTTCTTCCTCCCACTACCCCAGCCCCACCAAACGCAGCCCCCAATATCATCCTCATTGCCGGTTTGCTTTTTCCCGAAGACGTCGAAACCATCCCCACTGGTGTGACGAGGAAATAGTCTTCGAACAACCACTGAATCGGCGGTTCATCCGAGTCGTAGACACCTTCGTACGTTATGGCCAATTCGTGTTTCTTGTCTCCCGACAGATCCGACGCGTTGAATAAAAGTTGGTTTTGGAAATTTGCGACTTGGCCGTTTGACATTTTCTTTGAGGCGGGGATGGTGAAGGATGTGTCTTGGGCGTCGTCGATGTGGTAACGGGCTGGAGAGGATGACCAGGGCTGCGTTGCGTTCGAGCCTTCGAGGAAGGAGAAGAAAGATATTGATGTGCCTGAAAAAGAATGGTGACCGTTAGTCGGCGAGAAAGGAGAGTAGAAGGAGAGTAGAATGTGGACGGACGCACCGTTGAGTTTGATCTGAACCGTCCCACTCGTCTTCCCAGTCCCATTAAATCCACCTCCAATGTCTTGCCACTGCAAGCTTCCGTTGAGGTAGTTGACGCTTGTATCGCTACTATCGATTTTAATCCACCCTCCACGACGTATCTCGCCCTCCCCATCGACATCATCCAAACTAAGCCCCTTCAGGCTTCTCCTCATCCAGCGGTGCATACTCGAGATAATCCAACCAGAATTCCGTATCATTCGGCTCCGTCACCATCACGTTCACCCAACGTCAAGTGTCCAATGGTTTGAATCGGAATAACGAACTCGTGTGGGTGTCGTTGACGAGTCACGACGACTCGATTGTTGGACATTCCTTAGGTAGGCAGAGGATGTTGTGGTTTGAGCTCGTCGAGCTACGGCTAATCATTGACGTTGACAGAGAAAGGGAGATGCACGGGTAAGAGGTCTGAGAGACGAGACGAGGGGTGTGGACCATGATGACGGTAAGAAGGAACGTTTGAGTTCGCTGGTGTCACGGCGGGATTTTCGATGTCCACTCGTGCTTTGTGTGGTGATGTCCAGTCAGTTGTCCAGTCAGTTGTCCAGTAGGATGTCCACTGCTTGTCAGTCACGATACAGTCACAGATGTGCTGTTAATAGGCAGGAAATCGTCACAGGTTTGACCTTTTTTGCCCAGCAAGCATAATTAAACTGCCGAAGAGTGGACTGCGAGCTACTTGTGCTCATACCAGATCCAAAGTCTTGGTGCTCGGTGCTTGGATCAGGCACACAGACGCAGCCTGCGAAGGGTAAGGACTTTGTGTCCCCTTATGTACTTTCAGAAGCCACCACGTTTATTGCACTGTAATACAGTTGTTCTAATTCAGGGTTCAACAGTTTGTAGAGGCCATGAAACGCCGGATCCAGGGAAGTGGAAAGAGCAGATGGGAAGATGTTATGCCGGAAAGACGCGAGGGTCTAAGTGTAAGGAAAGGGGCTGATAAACTATAAAAGGATAATCACATCACGTGATTATCCCGATATAGCTTATCGTCAATTCTCCATTCACTTATCCGCATCGTTGTGCTTCTTTGTGCTTCAAGTACTGATCACCATACTGGGCAACTACAAATGGGTGTGCCGAAGGTACAGGAGGTCTTGTAGGAGGGCCAATGCTGCACGGCATTCAAAAACCACGGTTCTTTCAAAGGTCCCCCTTGTCACTTCAAAGAGAAAGATAGGTATCAGCCCCAGGGAGGTCCAGGCTCAAAAGGGAGGTGCAAGAACCATTGACCAGAGGCCAGACCCGGGGCTCGGGTACTGTAAGCCAGTCTTGCTGGGTGGTGATCCCTTTCATGAGAATAATCAAGGCTGGAATGCAGCAATGCTCGTATGAATAAACAGTTTTTGTTTGATTTTGGTCACAGACTGTGAGTGGACATCCTACTGGACAACCGACTGGACAACTGACTGGACAACTGACTGGACATCACCACACAAAGCACGAGTGGACATCCAAAATCCCGCCGTGTGTGGGCGTGTCATTGTCAAATGATTCGGTCTCTATGCCGCCGGCAAGTTTTTTGTTGGGCACCTACAACCACCCACACGACCCGCAATCGTCACTTCTTTCTTTGAATGCGGCACATGCTACACAGATTGCAGGTGCACTATCGGCTGTATCGGTAGCTTCCCTTCACGCGCTGGCTTTGTTTATCTCCACCCAGCTACAAATAACCTTATCTAGGCTCCATTTCTCCTCTCGACTCTCATGCCACCCCACCCACAAAACGATATTGGCACAAAGTTGCTCGAATCTCAAGACCAATTCGGTCTTTTATGCCATCGCACGATGCGCTCTACAAGGAGGAAGAGAGGAACGTTGTTTGAGTTTGATTTTGTAGGTGCGTCGTGGCTAGCCTCGTCTGTTTTGTTCTTTGATTGACTTTCTGCTCTCACGAAACACGTCTTTGGGCGACTCAATCCTCGTTCATGGCATATTGGTCATCCAAAAGAGTAAACATGGACGACGTGTGCTTTGAATGGTTTCCTAACTCCCCCCATTTCCATATGACGACATCAACCGGAAGAGTCGTAACGAGCTCTGTGGATTGGAGCATAGGTGTACACTCTGAGCGTTGACGTCAGGCTTTTGGTTGGATCAATTGGACCATGCAATGCCTTTTGGCGCTGAGGATGGGACTGAGGGGTTTACTTTAAATGTAGTCGATGGTCTGGTTTTGGTGCGGCTGAACTACATGGTTGGTGGATCAAATTTGGTTCTACAACCCCAGCGTCAGCTATTTACCTCAACGGGGGTGCGGGGTGGTACTAGATATCGGGGGCTACAATCATGGTCAAGGTCAAATTTAACGGTGCGCTCGTCGGTCCTTCTCTCGCTCTCTTCTTGCTAACATCTCTTTCTCTAGGCACATACATATCCGTCTACATGATTCTTGAAGGCTTCAGCCAGCTCGCACCAAGGCTACATTGTATTTCTTGTCAGCCGGCATACCCCGCTTATATCATGTCCTCTTTCACCCAATCAGTATACTCGATTCGTCCGACCATCTACTGTTCAATTATATTGCAAGAACCCTCACATCGCAGCCTATTGTTAGACTCCACTCTACCCGCTGATGGCGGTCTACAGCATACGCGGGAACTCGTATTGAATTGGCGACGTCACGGTTCTACGGGTTGTATGGTGAAGTGAACATCCAAATTGAAAGTGGGCGCCGCTGTTGCGCATCATGTGTCAAACACGGCATTGAATGTGTGGGGAGGCGAGTCACCTTTTATCTCGACCGTCACCTTCTCGCCCTCTACGATCCTCTCACTTGACATACAGCCCTCTGGGAACTTCAATGTCCAGCTTTTTCCCAAATGCACGGGACTTCACAGTTGCTGGTGGCAGCTTCAGCCACGTCGAGGGAGATCAGCACAACTACATGGGCCCAGTCACCATCATTCAGAAACATAACGAGAAGCGGACGGAGTTTGACGAGGTGAGCCGGGAGCATCCCTTTTTTCGAGTGCAAGGGGCTAATTCTATTCATAGTTCTACTACGTGAAGCGCGGTGCGATCTGCAGACTGGAGACCATCTACATCGATCACTATCCACGACGATGGGACGATGGAAATCGAATGGGTTGGGAAGAGGGAAAGTACCGGGCTGACAGGACGATTTGTGCAGCGAGGGTACTGGAGCGCCCGGGAATGGTGTTCACGGTGGCCCAGTATAGTGGACCAGAGGCACGGAAGGTACCTGTGGATTTCAGATCAGAGATCTTCATTCCAGCCAATGTCTTCTCTTTTCCCCCCCAGGCTTTCGAAAATGACTTTCGGATGTTTTCAAGGGCATTGTGCGTTTAGCCCTTCGTATAATCATTGTTATGGTCAACCTCAAATCCCGCTAGGACTTCGGATGTGTGGCAAATGTACGGCTACAACGATTCAGAAATCCCCTCGCTCATATCATATAACGGTACGTGGTTGCGTATTCCCAGTTGAATCTCACTCATTTTTCACTGTAGAGCTGGTCCCGGTCGCACACTTACAAGGGAATATGGGGGAACTGGGTCGGATGTATCTCTGCGACTTGCATGCAAGTATCCGGTGTATCACTCAGAATATGTCTCAATCAACTAGTTACAGAAACAGCTGGGATGCGAGGCAGAAGAATTGTGGATGGATGCTGGGAGAGGAATATTCTGTCGTGGTCCACCCGGACCGGACACATATCTCAATGTCGGTGAGTTGGGCATCAAGGACTTGCCTCCGACCGCGGAACTTGTCAAGGAAGATGTTCTACTACGCTTCTTGGCAAGCCTCAAATCGAAGGAAGTCGATCATGCCGTCGTCACGGGTATTCTTCATTCGGGTGCCAGAATTGAGGCGCTCGAACAAGTCTCTCAACCGACAGTC